GTCACAAGCTAGTGCACTTCAAACACTGGTCCCAAGCATGAAGACATTACAGTGTTTTATCAGGAAGGCCATCAGGGCAAAATCTGTCCCCTGTGGCAACCCCACAGAAAATAAGGGATCAGCTTAAAGCACTTTCTTTTAGAGATGGAAAGAAGTCTTTTTTCTGACTGATATTAAATTCATATAGTTTCTAGCTAAATATTGCAAAGAATATCTTTCAGCTGCTTTATTGCACACCCATGGCCTGGATGTAGGCAGATGTGATGACTGCAAATAAACATTGTACAAATCGATAGCCGTCCACGTGGTGCTGATTTTACAGTTGTGCCATCCGAGAGTATGAGATTCTGCATCATGCTGCCATCTCTATCACTGAGCAGCACAGTGCTTGATAGGATGACCCAATGGAAACATATATACATATCACAAGGGATGTTAGCTAAAACTGAAGGAGATCTGAGGTGTGTTTCTTTCTGTGCTGTCTTGGTGTTGGGGCCAGATCTGCACAGCAGACTCCTCTCGGGATACCCGACTATTAGCACTGGTGCAGAGTTTTAGAACCTTTCGGTCTCATCCCACAGGGACTCCTGTGATCTAGTTTATGCTGTCCTACTGAAAATGCTTTTTATAGACCCAGCCACAAGCGCACCAGCTTAGAGAATGGTCTTTGGGGAGCAGACCCATATCAGCCCATCTGCATCCAGACTGCAATGGAAGAGAGTGCTGAGCTAACACACACATATTTGAACTCATTCAAAAACATGCAAAGTCAACACTTACCAGTGACTCAATACTATATTGGCGTTACACCTGGGTACTATAGCGCTTTGTATCCTGTTAAACTTGGCAAGGTTATTTATTTGCACATGAAAAAAAATCTGTTGCACAGGTACACTTCATGTAAGAGCACAGCTTTAGCCGTAACCTCCTTATCTCCTTAATACTATGTGAGAAAACTGCTTTTTTTTTAAAAGAAAAGGTCACTTCAAAGAGGAAGTGGTTACGCTGTGTGCTAGCTCACGCACAGTCTATTCTGGTTTGCATAAACCAAATAAAATTATTTAAATTGTGAGAACATGGCTGTATGAGAAAGGGTAACTGCTGGGTGATATTCTGACTTCATTCTCTTGACATTATCCTTAGTTCATATGTGAAAACAGCTTATAGAAACACCGGTACAAATAATTACGTTTGTATCTCCCACACAATGCATACGCAGAACATTAATCAAATTCAGCTTCAGATAAACTGAAACACCTTTATACGCTATGATCTATGAGCCAGTATTTTTATTGAGACAATAGCTCTTTGTGAAACCTAGTGGGGTGCTGCTGGCTCTTAGGGGAAGCCTGCAGGCATACACCTGTGGAGCTGCTGAAATGCCACTGCAGACGCCTGCTTAGAGTCCCTGAGTGAAAGTCCACTGCAGCCTGACTGATCTTGGTACAAAAACAATTGCTGCCAGTGGTGGAGTGTTGAGGAGATTGGGGGCAGGGGGTTTAGAAAAGCAGTGAAGGGAGGGGATAGAGGGATAAAGCGCTGGAGTAATCTCACATGCTTTGCCCTAGTGTTGCCATAAATGAGGAAGTCACATATGATATTACGCAACTCAGAGTGGAGTGGGTTTTAAGGTTGGAAAATTACTAGAATCAATATGTATGTTTATGCATTGCCGGCAGCAATGCATAAACAACAGCAGGTCACCGCCGCCACCGCTGTCGGCATCACTTTGTGTACGCAAATGTGACAAATGTTTATAAACACTGTGATTTTTTTTTTCATTACATGCATTGCAAACTGTGCCTCATGCTATAGGAGGTCTTCTGTTGTGTCGTGACATTTCATGAGACCACCATGCTGAGTGTTTAGACAACCATTTACACACACACACAAACACATGCACGCTGAGCATGAGAGCAGTTACTGGTAACTAAATCATCATATTATGCTTCACAGTGAAGTCACAGAGCAGTCAAGTTATCCCATTCAGTCATTTTTATTGAGTGTGCATCAAGACATATCCTGTTTATGTCATCATTTCTACCTTAATCACCGTTTGAGCAAATCTTTTCTTGAAGGAGCTGCCTCTTTCAGGGACAGTTATTGAGGTTAAAACTTTGGGGATCCTGATCTGGAGTTTAGAAAATATAATAATATAATACACCTTTCTCTTTGGCTTGGCCTTTCTCTTTTGTAAAAATAAGCTCACATC